AGCCGTTGGTCGCCGGTTCATGAGTTGACGAGTCGATAGGTAGGGTCCAGGTGTAGGAGCTGCCTCCCTGGCGTCGGTGGCATAAGGCTGTCCACGAGACAGTTGCGATCAGCTGATCTTTTTGTTTACCAAGAACTTTTGACAGATCACAGTAGAACTGACAGTTTGGAGATGAACCAGCCTGCGGCTGAAAATCTCCTAAATAGAGATAATAATAATAGAACTGACAGTTCACTCTCATATGAATTTCTGCTTTAACACTAGATCACTCACACACTCTTGATTTCTTGTTGTCAGTTCCACTGAGAAACGTCTCTTGGATCACCTTATTGGTGGTTAGCACGGAAAACAAGATCGACGGAAAACAAATCAAGGAAAACAAAAAATAAATAAAGATCATTTGAAGTAAAAAATTATGAATATATATATCTTCAAATCTGTATTCAAGTATTCAAGAAATCTTATTTTTTCTCCGAAGAATTAGGAGGTGAAAAAATCAAACATACATTTCAGAACACCCATAAAAAATTATAAACATACGACTGTTAAAACAATTTACTTTCTTCATTCACTTCCCAGAGTCCCGGGACTTCCCACGATATCAAATAAATATTTCCCGAATCCCAGTATGGTGGAAACCGCTGGAAAATAGAAGCTATGTCCCAAACTGACTTTCACGGAACAACAAAAATAAAAAAAGATAGGGGTGAATTTTTCAGGACCACCCTAACTCAATTAGGAAAAAATGTTCCAAAATGAGATTGGTAGAGCATAGAAAAAATGTTTCACCAGAAAAGTAGCTTGAAATCATCCCAGCTACAAATTAGCAGAAGTACATTTATTTTCAAAAATAAAAATGTTAGTTTTCTACAACAATAAGTTGAGGACCACCCAAATTTTAAAAACAGTGAACAGAAGGAGCTTCTTATGCTGGAAAAGTTTACAAAAGTCACTGCACCTCTAAAACTTAAGATAAATGCAGTAGGACTTTTGTCTTGCTAAATTCCCATCCTGGAACACTCATTTACGTTTTTAAGAAAATTCATAAAGAAATTGCACCAGTAGGTTTTCCCATAACCAGTGTCTGCTTTTATCATTCACCATCAAACGCAAGGAGTAGCGCTTCAACCCAGTGTAGATGAATTGCGTTCGTTTTGAATATCTTCGCTGTGAAGTACGAGCGAAACGAACAAATGAGTTCATTATACATCAACGAGTACGCGTTTGTTGATATTCACCACTGCTTGATTATCCAACCCAAAATTGTCAAAATCAGAAGCGATTGTGAAAAGCAAAATAATCAAATTCATTATCGGCAAAATTACTATTTTGAATATTGTCCATCAATTCAGCACGAGGCAATAATTTTCCAACAATCTGTGTACACGGCGAATGAGAACAACCCAAATTTGAGATTAGTTCAATCATAATCGCCAAAACTGCAGGAACTCAGCGATGAGTAAAATCTGTCTCATGGTTTCCTGTGGAAAACCAAAAAAATCTGCCGAAAATTGAGGAAATTGATGAAAATTTTATTCAGCCTCGGAGTAGTACCAATAGACTGAGTGAATCCAATATTTACTTTTCTCAAATTTGGGAATTTTTCCCTGGAAAATCCTGGAAAAACCTGGGAAAACACGAGGCAAATTTACTCATCGCTGAGTTCCTGCATTTTTGGCGATTATGAGATAACTAAACTCAAATTTGTTTCGTTCTCATTCGCCGTGTTTACAAACCAATACAACACGTTCATTTCGCATTTGATCCTCAAAATCATACCCACCAAGATGAAGATGAATATTGATATTGACAACAACACAGGCGATGATAAACATCCAGCCACGAATGAACAAAAACAAAGGTTGACTTCGATACTTAGAGCACAGACAAACAGACATAACACATTGAATATTTCTCACTGTAAAACATCGTCGCTAAAACATTACCGCCATCTGTTGAATACACAGTGGTGGGTAGTACGCTGAACAGATGGCGGTAGTGTGTAAACGTCAAACGCAAGGGAATTGACTATGCGCGCCACAGGTGGCGGTACTACCAACTACGATACTTTTAAATCGACCGTTAAATGCTTGTTCGATGAACAACTTGCGAGTGTTATGTCTGTTTGTCTGTGCTTAGAGGTTGCCTTGATCAAGAGAATGTGTTTATGTCACAAACAGCGTTGCCAGTATTCCAGATTTATCTGGATTTTCCAGATTTTTAGTCGTCTTGCCAGATACACAGACAGACCACGTATATTTCCAGATTTTTAAATAGGTTCCAGATTTTTTAAACATGCTTTAAAAATATCACTGCAATTGATTTGCCATCTAATCAAAAAATCAAAAGCCAAACTTGCTTCGTTACTAAAGTCCGTCAACGTTGGACATTATTGGAGTTATAAGGTAATTCTGAAAATAGTTCACAGTGAAGTGTAAGGTGAATTCCTTGTAAAATCAAACGAAAAATTCAAGCTAATTCTGAGTAGAGTTCCATCCATATTTGTGGGCTTCATGGTCGTGCGACTTCACCCGCCGTTCAAGCGTATTGAGTGTCACGAAGTGAGGGTTCGATTTCCGCTCCAGCCGGTGCAAATTTTGACTACCTGAACATTTTCCTACTGGTCTGCTGGGTGTGTTGTGTTGTCCGTTGTCTAGTGTTAAATATACAGGCTGTGCATTGTGCAACCTCTGGTTGAAGACGGTGTCAATTGTCTTGTCAACGCTGATGACAATTGCATGGAGATTTGGTGAATAAAGGTAATACAATCCGGAAGAGAAATCATGGAAAATTCTTATGATGAAACTTTAGGAGAATGCTGATACGAATCGTGAGAATAATCTCAATTGAATTCTGTCCAATGTTTCTATCGAGGGGGCGACACATCTAAATCTCAATTTTAGATGCTCAACAAATCTCACACTAGCGAATCAATCTTCGAAAAATCTTCTTGCATTTCTCGCATATACTTGCATCCCGCATCATTTTTTTGCAGGAAAACGTCAGAATCGTTATCTATCTTCTTTCTATCTACTCACGTGCGAGCAGCTAGCCATAGCACAACACAATCTTTCCTGCAGCGTAGATAGAGTCGTCCCCCTCGGTTTCTATGGAGATTCATTTTAAGACATTTCAACGGAATTATGCGCAATTTCTGGGAAACATTCAAAACCATTTTGACAAAGCTGATGACATTTGACATTTTTCTCTATGAAATTCTGGAAAAAAATTTCATAATAATTTCTTTGGTACACTCTTCAGAATAACCGTCACGCTCTTCTCAGACTCATCCGATAATTTCCTTTGAACTACTTTGTAGGTAAAAATTGTTTTGCAATCCTCTTCAGTATTTCCTAATTATTCAAGTTAATTAGGAAATACTGAATAGGATTTTAAAACAATTTTTACCTACAAAGTAGTTCAAAGGAAATTATCGGATGAGTCTGAGAAGAGCGTGATGGTTTTCTGAAGATTGTACCAAGGAAATTATTATGAAATTGTGCCAATTCTTGGGAATTATTACCAGTTTGAGGGAATTGTGGAATTAGAGAGTGATTTATAAGAGATTACAAGAGCTAAGAACTCTTACACAGCAAAAACAAATGTAATATCGATCAACGTAATTCAAGCTGATGTATGAAATAATGCTGTAATAGCAAAAAGCAGATACAATATTACATCAATGGATGTAATTTTGTTCGCAAAATCGATGTAAATCGTACAATGTGATATTACACAACCGATGGATTGACCTGGTTGCAGCAGTTTCGATGTAATATTCAACAACTTTTTTTGCTGTGTATAATGTTACTGGAAAAGTTTGGATATTATCAAGATTATTTTAGGGGAATATAGAAAAAAAAGTATGATGGAATTCTAGGATGATTCAAATGGAACTAAAAAAAGGGCGAAAATATCCTGTGAAGAGATCCAAGTAAATTCAGACTAACAAAAAATTTCATGATCGGGGACCGAGGAAATTCCTGAGACTTCAAAAATGGACCTATCAGACATTCATTTTAGTAATATAATAAAATTATTCTTTGGCATAAAATTATACGTAATCGTCATGCGAATAGTGAAGTTATCCGTAGTTTAGGTAAACTGTGTGTGAGTACCACGATGTTAGACTTTGATTCCCACTTCAGCCGGATGAATTTTGCTTCAAAATAAAATTGCCTACTGGTCTACTGGGTGTTGTGTATTGTATGATGTCAAGAATTAAATTGTCTGAATCTGATCAACCTCAGCGTAATATCAGAATTATTTAGAACTAATAAAATCTTTAAATTCTGGTATTGCATCAAATAGTAAGGACTACAACGATTATTAATAGTTGAAACAAATCCATCCCATGAAATTTGCTTGATTCTTTGCTTCTCATTCTTTTTAAAAAAGATACAGTATAAAAAAACAATTCTAAACATATTTTCTGCAGTATTTTACCCACATTTGACTGAATTTTTTAAATTCTGCGTAATGGATATTTAAACTTTTTGTGCACACTGTGTCAATATTTTTTCAACTTTTGCATGATTTCAGCAATGCTATCAAGTTATTTGCTTTATATAATTTATTTAAACATGTAATTTATAACCATTCTAGTACTTTAAATAAACTCCAGGATCATACTGACCGATTTTTACGGGAAATTGGCACATAACTTTGATTTCAATAGCATTATGTTAAAAACGGGATTTTTTTTAAGTATTCCAGATTTTTTCAGATTTTATATTTTAACTGTTCCAGATTTTTCTGAAAATGACCTGGTAACGCTGGTCACAAATCAAATTCATGCAAGTAGTTGGTCTATCTGTTAAGGTTGTCTTCATTTTCAGCTAAGTTGAGTGTAGAAAGAATGCACTGCCCATAACCATGCTTCAAATTTCCGTCTATATTGCTCTTGATAATATTTTAAATTTGAAAGGCTATAATTTCGAATCTCCCTCGAATTGGTTCCATCATTAGGCCACTCTCGACAATCCCTTAAAAATGCTTACCTGAAAGTATCTCCCGTTCGATCCTTGAAGTAGTAATACCCGAACAGATCCGCCACTAGAATATCACCCGAGTTGAAGAACATATCCCCCTTGGAGAACACGTCTCTCAACACCTTCTTCTCGGAGGCCGTCTTATCGGCATAGCCCACAAACGAACTGAGTGCATTCTTCAGGTTTATCTTTCCAACAAACACTCCCGGCTCACCGGGCTTGCACCGGATGCAGAACCCATCGGAACCACGCACGATTTCTCCGGTTTCCTCTTCGCATCTACCCAGAACCGAGAGGAAGAAAGGAAAATCATAATTTGTTATTCATCCAGAATGTTTCCCCCGCACGGTTTCTTACTTCACCAACGTCACCGGGTAGAATGTCCTCGCAAAGGCGGGAACGAAACCAACTGCTCCCACCGTGTTGTCCAGATTCACTGCAATTGAGAGCAGAAACACGCAAGAAAACACAAACAAGTCATCAATCAACATCAGAACAAAACTACCCCCGACCAGCTCCCTTCATTTGTGGAGCCCCCCATTAGAAAGAGTCCAGAAGAAGAAGAAGAAGCCGGGAAAAAAGCCGTCACTCACTCAGATTCGAGTTTCCTTCGGTCGATCCATAAAATTCAGCAATTTGGCTGATGCTGAAGCGTGACACAAATTGGGTCCAGATCTGCGGTCGCAGTCCATTGCCAAACATCATCCGGACCTTGTGCTGCGTGTCGGTCGGTTTCGGTGGGGTCGTCAAAACGAATCGGCAAATTTCGCCAATGTATTGGGCAACCTGTACGCGGAAGAAGAACAAAACTGTGAATATGCAGTTCTATAGGCAATTTGTTGTCACTTTGGAGCTCACCGTGCAGTTGTACTTGATGCAGTCCGGGTAAAAGTTGGACGCGGAAAACTTTTTCCGAAGGGCAGCCGTTAATCCGCACAGCAGGACGCTTCCGATGCCAACCATTCCGCCGGCGGAGTGGTACAGGGGCAGGGCGTTGTAAATGATATCGTCGTCACGAAGAGCCAGCATGTAGTAGCAACCGGTGCCCATCATGATGAATCTGGAAGGAATAATGAAGATTTTGACTTTTTAGTAAGGGGATGGTAAATTAGAGAAGATGGGCTTGACTGAATTTTGAACAATTCGAGCTAAACATTTACTTATTTAGCTATCCTCAGAGTACAGTAGTGACCCGATTTGGTCTGCCCCTCCACGTATCAGAATTTAATCTTTCAAAAGGTCACATTCACATAACCGTAATTCCAAATCTTTCTCATTCGTCTTCAGGAAGACTGTACAAAATATACTTTGGTGCAATAAGACCACTGAAAAAACTCATGGTTTTCGTGGAACATTAGAGAAGAGGGTACTGGCAAAATCGGATCATTACTGCACCACTAATCCATTAATCCAAATTGATCAAAATGCAAAAACAACATTTTATTTTCCTCCATGGAAATCAGTCTTGGATAAAAGGGGATCAAGAAAGCTTTCTTGATCTCCTTTTATCCCAGACTGATTCTTACACCCCCATCATAACGTGGTATCGCGCCCACACCACTTGCTCACCTGGAATTGGTGATCACGGCCGCCTTCGGCATTCCCGTCGTTCCGGAGGTGTAAATGTAAACTAATTTATCTCTCGGTGATACATCATCCCACAGAGCGCTTAAATCTACACTCGGTACATTGTCCAAAGCTTGTCTTAGGTTGTCGGCTTCTGAAAGAAAAAAGGAAAAGAACTTCAGCTCAAGCACCAAACCGAATGACGAGACGGAGCGGCAAGGAATGGGGGGGGGCTTTTTCCTCATGAGAGAATGATTTATGATTATCTATTATATACGTTTAGGTGCGGGGGGTTCCAGTGAAAGACACATCTTTCGTGAGCTACTTTTGGAAATTCTTGATGCTGCAGTTGCAAGCAAGGAGATGGGGAGTTTCACCGAAACCGAATGGAAGGTGCTTAAAACCATGGGAAAATGTTTAGTCCTGGACAGTGCGGGAACCAATTGGGGAGATTTTTTCTCTACTCTGCATTCAGAGAATGTGGGGGAGGGGATGTGTGAATGAAAGGAAGTGGACCATACCGGGAAATACATCATCGAGATCCGAATGTGTGCAGTTTATGGGAAAATGGCAGCCGTTTCGGACAGTGCTGATAATGGGAATCTACCAAGGCTCACACGAAACTTTGTGTTAAACGAAACAAGACATTGGTAGGTGGAGAAGGATGCAAGCATGCATAGGTGAGATAGTATGAAATACGGTACTTACCTGGTAACTGATCATTTTTGCTGGATTCAGACGAATGTTCATTGCCATATAAGAAAATTGGCAGTCCTTTGACTCCTTCCTGGTCCGTTACTTCTGCAACGGCTGCAAAAGACAAATTATCACGATTTAAATGTGCCTTTTAAACACGATTATAAAATCAGAATTTCCTTGGAATAATGCTCCAAGCCGATAAAATTCGACAGCTACTCAAATTATCCTAATCCGCTCCAACCAATCCCGCATGGGATGGACAGAGTCTTTAATCTGTTCTTATCGAATCAAAACAGACCGGCTAACAACAAGAAACCATGTCATTTGCAGACGACGTCCGCTCGCGTTCTCAGAGGCTATTCTACAGTAGCATCATAACACACACACACCCACACAAACAAAAATTCCACAAAGGACAAGCCCAACTCCTGCCAAAGCATCCGTGCATTTCATCCGCCGATGATTGACAGATTCCATTTTCTACCGGCTACTCTAACCAGCCAAGCGTTCGCTCTAACCTAAACGTACGTCTCACAAGGAGCAGCGCTCTGCCGGGTGCAGATCCAGAACTCAGACAGCACTTTCATCGTACACTTACCTTCGGCCAGTTCAGAGCTGACGATGATTGCTTTCGAATTAGCCACCGCAATCGAGTGCCTCAGCGTTTCCCGCCGCAGATTGGTATTGATCAGGGCTGTTACGACGCCCAGTTTGGCCAGGCCCAGCCAGATGCACGGATACTCGGTGCGGGTTTCCATCATCAGCGCCACCGTGTCGCCCTTGGAGAAGCCTTTCGAGTGGAAGTAGCTGGCAACCCGATCGGAGAGCTGCTTCACCTCGCCAAAGGTCAACCGCTGGTCGTCCATAAGGAGGGCCACCTTGGACGGCCGTTTGGCTGCTACCTCCTCGAAAATCTTCACTACCGTCATCTTGCGCTTCTCCAACCGGTACAGGTTGAGGTTCATCTTGGTGAAGCACACGGCAGCACTGTGGAGTGATGAGATAAGAGAGAAATATTGGTTTCGTTTTAATTAGAATATGGGCTGACAGTGACAATCGACACGTTGTGGCTATTATCGGGACGGAAAGGTGGACAATTCAGTTTTGTGTTGTGCAATGGTTTGGGAGAGTAAACTTTATTCGTAACATTTATCAGGGGCCTGACTCGAGCACGTGGTTTGAAGGTAACGCAACATGATGGATGTAAATATCTAAATTTACAGAGTAAGAAAATCAGCTGGCCGGAAATCTCATTATCTGCGCACGATGATTCCAAAGTGTGGATCAAACGTAGAAGGAAAAAGGCCAGTCGAACCCTGTATATGGATGCGAATCTACTCAGTTGTATAACTCTAACCATGTGTTTATACCTAACGCGAAGTGAGTTGGCCAGGAATGAAATCTAGCAGAAAGAAATTAACAACGCTTTGGGATTGCATCCAATTCAGTTAGAACCACAATTTGGTGAATAAAAATAGTTCATGTTTTGTCCGCAAAGATGGCGCAGCGATACAAACTTTTTTTATGAACAGTTGCCGAAGACATAAAATCTGTACATCTTCAAATAACTGAGATAAATTAAATTTTATAAAATTTGCCTGAAATTCACATTTTCAGTATTATATTTTAAACATTCGATCAAAATAATACTTTTATAATTTTTCCTCGATCGGTATTGATCAATTTCAACAATATTTCCAGATCAATGCTATAATTTTTAGAGTATAAATAAATATATAGGGGAAATGGCTCTAATGTTGGCCAATTGATCTAAGATTGGGCTCAAATTAGGGGCATTTAGGCCCACACTACATCTATTTCCCGTATTTCATAAAATTTGAAATAATTCATAATCTTCTAAATTAATTTTCTAAAAAATTGCGCAAGTGTGCGCAAAATGTCATGAATTATACAAAAAGTTGATGTAGACTTTAATTCCTCAAAATATCTCAGAAGTATAATTTGAGATATTGGTCAAAGTTGAAGATCGTAAAAAATTATGAAATTCTAATCCAAATATGGGGCATTACAGCTCAAGTGGGGACATAATTTAAAAAATTGTGGTCGATGTCACCGACTTGAGCCAAATTTGGTCAAAACGTTTATTTTGGCATTCTGAACAAACGCCTTTTTTGATTTTGCTCTGAAGTGCCTTGATCCCTCTCGGCTACAACCCTGCATTACTGCACAAACAAATACGCTATTCGTGATCTTAGAACGTCGATTTGAAGGTTTTTTAATGAAAATTCAATAAGTGTAACCACATTTTGATTTGGTTATATTAACTACAGTGAACAGGCTGATTAACGGCAGGTATCAAAATTGTCAAAAATAACTTATTGTCACCTTGGGCGGTGTTGGGGAACTGGATAATTGGCTCCTTCGACTGAGTGGATCCTCAACACTCGGTCTCTCGAATGGGTTAATAGCAGTAATACATAGGTTTTTGGCTTAATTAAAACACTCTATTTAACCAAAAAAAAAAACACTAACTACACAAACTACATTTATTGCCTTAAACTAACAATGGATACTTAATCTAAACGATATAAAAAAACTAGCCATGCGATTGCGTGACTCTTGACCGGTGCTAACGATCGAAGAATACTAACTAACTATTTGCTCCTAAAATACCACTGGTCATCCACAGACCGACGATCGATGACGTTCGGGGCCAGCCGTTGGAACAGGGAGAATGAGATCTCTCTCTTTCTACTGGCTCAACTCCCACGAGCATATTCGCAGGGACTCCTACAATCTCCCATACAGCCTGGCATCTCACTCCGTATCGGCTACTCTTAAGCTGGGTTTAGACAGGGCAAGTCAATTGATCAAATCAGTTGAATTCAACTGACTTGAACGCGAATTGAACGTGTAAACCATGCCATTCAACTGACTTGATCAACTCACTTGAATTGAAAAAAGTTGAACCAGGCTCAACTTTTCAAGCCAATTGAATTCAACTGAGTTGATCATTTGACTTGCCTAGTCTAAACCCAGCATTATTGTAGGTAGACACGAAGGTTTGTTTATCATTTCAGGCTTCTTACCAGTTTCTGCTCTGACTTATTTACTGTATGGATGATCGGCAGAACAATAGGAAGTGGTCGCAGTTATGTCCAGTGGACATCAGAGTTGTAGTTTAAAGGGGACGGAGATGTCATTCCTCAACAGGCGGGATTTTTTATTTCTTAATATTTTGGGCTCAAATTTTCACCACACCATAGGAACGTATTTTTCACTTTTAGGACCACATTTAAATTATGGACAGTAGTAAATAAATGAGCTAGTTATGATTTTAAATAATGAGAATCCTGCCCGGAACATGAGAAAAATAACATAAAAATATTATTGTGCCATAGGCGTGAAGTAATTCAAGAAAAAATAAAAAAAAATATTAAATAGCATTGATTTTCCATCAGAAAAGCTCAAAACTACCACTCACTCATCTGGTCATATCTTATAAACTATTTGTCCAAATAATTTACCTTTGGAAACCCATCAAGTAGAAGAGTTTAACAAAGTGTGGGGAAAATCTGAGCCCAAAACATTAAGAAATAAAAAATCCCGCCCAAGGTGAAAATAGACCATTTTTTGACAATGTTGATACCTGCCGGTAATCAGTCTGTCTACTGTAGTTACTATAACAAAAACAAAATGTATGCACCTATGTGAATCTACATTAAAAAACTTCATTGTCGTTCTAAGATCACGAATGGCTTATTTGGTTGTGGAGTAATCTCTTCTGAAAGAAGATTTTTTTTTAAATCTCGTAAATCCAGGGTTGTAGCCGAGAGGAATCTAGGAATCTAGAGTAAAATCAAAAAGGCGTTTATTCAGAATTCCAAACTAAGCATTTTGGCTAAGTTTGGCTCAAATCGGTGACATCGACCATAACTATTTAAATTCTATACCCACTTGAGCTGGAATGACCTCGGGCATGACCCATATTTGAATTAGAATTTCATAAATTTATATGATCTACAACTTTGCTCAAGTCAGCAAACCTCTATCTTGTGAAATAACAAAGTTTGTATCGCTGCGCCATCTTTGAAGCCACAACTAAACTCTTCCATCCACGAAATTGTAGTCCAAACTTATCCAAGAAACTTCACTGAAGATGTCAATTCAATTGGATGCAATCCCAGAGCGTTATTATTTGTTCCTGCCAGGGTTCTGCATTTTCGAAACAAAGAAAAGAAAATGAACTCTCCACAGAATCGCTTCATTTCGAGCAATATCATTTTCGTGTAAAGGTCCGTTTAGACTATCTGATTTCATGGTCTGATTTTGACCGCCACCATAATGAAAAATCTGCTCGAATTTACTTCCGTTCACACTTTGTCGAACCCCCCTGTTTGCTGGTGTTCACACTGCTTGCACATGTCGAAAGAACTGTCAATTTAGATTTCAAAACAAAACTGTATCAGGAATCAAAAGTAAAAACTTCCATCATGAATTACCGGAAAATTGCTCTAGTTTCGGCAGTCGTATTTGCTTTTATTATTTTAAATAAAATTAGAAGGAGAAGGTGAGCTTTGTGAAGTAGGAAATGGTTGCTCAGGAGGAACACCGACAGGGATCTGGCTCATCTTGTCCTTCACGAGCTGCGATATGAAGAAGAAAATGGATTTCAAAACTTCTCCAGGATGTCGATACCAACTTTAGACAAGCTAGTGGGAAACGTTCTCACTAGATCTACACGATTCCTTGAGTTCTGTAAATTTCTGTTAACAACTCAATTCTGCAAAATTCTTTGAAGACCTTCGGACGTCCCTGAAGTTTTTTTTTTCTGTTCTCCGGTAAAATTACTTTAAAGATCAACAATCTTTCCTGACGATCTGCAAATTTCTCGGTAGTTCTACAGATTTCTTTGGTGTTATGTGTGTTCTTCAGAAGTTCTGCTAATTTTCCTAAAAATCTACAAAGTTCCTGAATCCCTAAAGATCAACAATTATCTCTGATGTTCACAAAATTTATAATAAGCTACGAACTTCTCGAAAGTTCTGTAATTTTCTCTGCAGATTTTCATGATTCAATGAATACCTGCAAATATCTCTGAACATCTACACAATTTCCTAAAGAATTTAATTCCGGAAGTTTTCTGAAGTTTTACTATTTTTTCTGAAGCTGTGCAAATATCTCAAAAGATCAGCGAACTTGCCTGAAGTTCTGTAAATATCGCTCAAAAGAAACGTAATAAAATTCTGAAAATTTATTTAAACATCTGCACATTTTTCAATATATTTACGATCTACCCTCTAAACTTTTCTGAAGCACCTAAAATTAATTTCAAATTCTGTAAAGTTTTCTGAACTTCTGTACTTCTGCTCTAAAAATCTGCAAACTGCCCTGAAGTTCAATAAATTTCACAGTAGATCTCCGAACTTTTCTAAAGTTTTGTAAATCTCTTTTTGGATTCTTGAATTTCCATTAAGTTCTGTAGATTTATCAGAAATTCTTTGAAACTACCCCAAGCTTTACAAATAATGTGATAATATTTGAACTTCGCTGAAGTTTTAAACGTTTATCTGAAGATTTACGAATATCTCAGAAGTTGTGTAAACACTTCTAAAGATCGGCAAACTTTCCCGAAGATCTGTAAATTTTACTGAAGTTTTGCTAATTTTTATAAAAACGTACGAACTTCAGAAGTTCTACAGACTTCTCTTAAGGTCTACGGACTTCTCTGAAGTTGTTCAGAACTATCTATTTCCAACTTCCATGGAGTTCTGCAAAATCTTGTACTTTTGTACTTCGCTGCGATTTGTTTTTGGAATTGAGCTACTTTTCTGACATTTAACGATTTTTTCTGAAGATCTCACATTTGTCTGAATTTGTGAAACTTTCTGAAAAATTCCTGCAAATATCTTTAAAGTTCTGTAAAGTTGTCTGAAGCTCCGTTGTTTTATTCCCATGATCTTTGAAAAAAAAACCTTAAGCTCAATATTTTTTTCTCAGTAGATCTGCAAACTTCTCTGAAGTTT